CTTCGGGCTCAGTTGTAAGTGCGACTATGCAGCCTGCACTTCTCCGTCGTTTCTCGTACATTTGATAACGAGATGCGGCACCTCTCGCAGCCACGATCACGGATGTGCCGGTGCGCGTCACTGAGATTCCTGCATAATGCCGTAGCGAACGCAACACTCGACTGTTGTGCAGTCCATCCCGTAAGGGACAACAACCCCCGTAGCATTTCTCCATGGTACAATTTTACCTCCTCCATCGTCGCATTTGCAGCCGTTATTACGCGCCCGTATATATTCGCCCGTTCGTCTCGCAAACGCCGAGAAGATGCCGCGCGCGATTGCACAAAGGACACGCAGAACGGATGCGCTCCACTTGACGTGAGACATCCGAGTGAAAGCGAAACGGGCGTGTCAAATAACACATATTATGCGAAGAACGCGGCTGAGGGAGTCGCGATTAAACGCAGCTGGGATATTTAGCGGCATTTTCAAGTTATTCAGCGCGAGATACAACGTCGCATTAATTGCATATTACCGTATGCCAAATGTGTATTCTCGCACGAATTATCGAAATATGTTGATATATATAATTTAACAATTCTCTTTGTTAATCATATCTAAGTATTTCCCGATATTAATTATACGCAGCCTCGAATGTAGGTTTCTTCGTTATCGATGTGCGCCGACCTATTGCGACAAACTTCCTTCTTCGCTGTGAGTAAATGCTCTCTTATCATCTACCGTTACTAAATCTTGTGATCTTGTGTTATCCGGTATAGATAAAATAATTATCTCAAGCATGTTTAAACATTGCGTCTCATAACGTAAAATTATTTCCAATTAAACGACGATTCTTTCGGTATCAGCGAGTGTGCTATTGCAGTGAGTTTTGAACTTTAGATTTCAAATTTTCGAGATAATCAGTGTGCTTCCATTTTGTAACCACGTTTGTCGTTCCGCGACTACCGTACACACGATAAGGCTCGTGATAAAAATACGATAACTTCGTAATAGTCGTTTCTAAATTCGTTGCTCCACATGACGTCGATCCACCGAATAAACTGCTATCAAAAGAGTTGCGTAAACTCTTCGATGCATGTGTGTACCCCGCGCGCCAACCGGCGAAAACGATATCTGGGTAGCAGACAAATCATCAGATGTTATATTATGTCTTTATTCGTGATTTATAATGATAGTGTGAGGAAATCGTGCGGCGTTGTGGCGGGACACTTGCGCCGTGATAATCAGTAACCAATCACGACGGCATTATCGTAAAAACGTGCTTCACCGCATTATCACATGCTCCGTTCACGAGTCGGGATCAAATCACACACGTGAATCGCAAGTGAAGCACTCACCTACCTCCGGTTTGATATCTATCGTCTATCACGAGACTGGGTCTTTGAATCACACCTCACGGGACTCACGGGACCAGCTATGAGTTTACGATTGGACGACGTTATTCTCCGTATCTCAAATATGATATCTGATAGCACCCACAAATGCTATTATAATCTCGTAAAGCTACTATTTCTACAAGTCTCAACTGTTTCTACCGACCGTTGCACAATCCGTGAAAAACGTGCGTCGGTCTCTCGAGGCTCCGTCGACGCTAAACGTTAGTCTCTTGAAATATCGCGGACGTATCGATCGGAAAAGTTCCACAATTAATATTTTTAATTGAGGACTAAATAATTCGTCAAAGTCGAAGTATTGTTCAGTCAATTCTAGACTTCTCAATGTTATGAAATATTTATTATTTTGAACGTTATTTATGACTATATGATGACATTGCATAATGAGTTGGAGAAAAATAGATGTGATAATGTGGCTTCCGATTAAGATAGATAAAAAAAAAAATTCATTTTGCTGAAGATAACACAGGATTTGGCCACAAAATTATATATGTACCTAAATTAACTTTTAGAAGGAATAACAATGAGTATAATGCATTTTTAATGTAGATACTGACTTATTTTTCAGAAGATACAATCTATCAGGACAGCAGTGTGACGCAAACAGAAATGCAACAGTGAATTATAGAATCGATTTATCGACTACTTTAATATGAAAACCTTAAAAAAGAAGTCCTTGTCGAAACTTTTAAAAGGTTATATTAGCAAAATACCATGCTATCGTTTAGCTTTGCACAACTCGAAATGTATATAGCTAAATGAAATGTTAAATAAAATACTTAAATATATATTACATATATTTATGTAAAAATACACTCAAGTTTAAAAAGAATGAGAAAATATATAATGAAATGTTAAAATATACCTTGAAAACGTTTCGAAATGATCAAAAGTAAAAATGCGTTATAATAAATATTGACTATTGTGTATTGACATATTAGCGTCGCTACATAACAACAGGCTACTGAAAAAATGATTCTACAAGTAATTACAAAAATCCACTAACAGTGGAGATATTAAGAGGGGCCATAATATCTACAAGGGCCATGACATCTTCTCTTCCATACAGAGTTTTCCAAAAATGTGGAAACAATAGAATATTTTTAAAAATGAAGCAATTGATAAAAAAAACTATATGATTCGACGAAAAAAATAGAGTTAATCTTGAAATAATTTTGAATTATTGATTATAATGAAATTAATCAATTAAGGTCATTAACTTATATCGCCCTAAAAATCTTATAACTTTTGTTAGAACTATTTTTTATCAATTACTTCGTTTTTAAGATATTCCACTATTTCATACTTTTGGTAAACTCTATATATTTCATTTAAGATTCATCACGACATTAAGAAAAAAGGAATTAATAATCGTATCCGTGTTTACATGTGAAATTCAAATCAGACTGGTTAAGCAAAGATAAGAGAAATCTTGCGGCAAGTTATTTGGAAGATCTATTAAATATTCGATTGAAAGAAAGTTCTCCAAGCAGTGATAAAATATCCGATAATAACGATGATTTTATTGCTTTTCATCGAAAAATAAAGCCTTTTCAATTCGAAACGGAAGAATTGTAATAATTTTTTTAAATTTGAACTTAGTAATGTAAAAATGTTAAACGATTATCAAATATTTAAAAAAACTTAAAACTTTTTAAATAAACAATACGCTACTTTTCCAAATTTGCATCAGTAGAACGATTATTCAGCTTTAAATGCTTCGTATTAACATCATATAGAGGTTGTTTTCACGGTGATATGATGGAGCTTCAATTCCTGTTTCAAGTTAAAGTTTAAAGTTAAGTTAAAGTTAATAAAGAATTTGAGTAAAATTTAATAAGTTTGTTTATTTAATAAAAAACCTTAAGAAATGTGACTTTTTATCTTTAAGTTATCTCTAGTAAATTTATCTTTAATAAACAGACACACGCTTGGCTTAGACTTGTATTAAATAAATAAATAAAATAATGATAATAATTACGATTCGTTATATTTTAAATAACGATAACGAGTTACTTTTCAAAATTAATAACGGAATGCGGTAATGGAACGAATTATGTTTTTTGATCGGTAATGAATAATGATACCTAGTTACTTTCAAAAAATAACTTTCCCAATCCTGACAAGAATTTGAATTCTCTTTTTCCGTGAACATTAAATAAATTGTCATTAAAAATGATATTAACATCAAAGAGAAAAACTGCGTGTCTTAAATTATTCAGTTACGTAAATAGCGATATTTTTTACACCTATAAATATGAGAAAAATATATAGAGAGTTTCGAGGTCAAATACGGAAAGTATTCTAGTCAGTTTCAGCAGATGCAAAATGAGCTGAAATATTGCAGGAAAAGCTAGATGTAAAAAATAGATAGGAATAGATAAGAATAGACGTGAATAAACGTTATAAATCTGACTAGCAATGGATATGATAATGAATACCATTATTCAACAGATCTAAAGCACTTTTCTGAATTATTGCGCGCATTACAACAATGATATTGCGCATCTGGCCAGACGTATTATTTCTAACTGAACGTCGCTGGTATGATGGCATATTTCCTTAAAAAGAAATATTTAAAAACTTCGAGAAGACTATTATTAGAAAATAGTTAGATTAATATCAAAATGTTCATCTTGATTAGCAAATAATATATCATTGTGTGAATGATTACTTTCTTATTAACAATGATTAGACGTATTGTTACTTACGCTCGAATAGTTTATAAACGATATAATGGTTTTTCTCGCATTATATTATCATTGCTCAAAGAAATGACAAGATTAGAGGTAATGATGCGAATACGTTTCCTTTTGTTAATAGCAAAAAAGTTAAAATTGCGACCATGTAGAGTAACGGTATTTTAGCGACGGAACTACGCGAACCTTGGAATCGTACGAAAAATTTAAAATTTTAATTAACCAATTGAGAGAAACTGATAAAATTCATGTTTATGTAACAAAACAGTCAGAATACACCGTAATTCCATACTAACTACGTAAGTATTGTTCAAATACATATATACATATATACGTACGTCGCGAATATTAATTTTTCCATTTATATACATAAAGTTTTCTGAAGCTATCGATTTTAATTTTACCGACGATTTCAAAACGACAATCCTTTAACCAAATCGGAATCGGTTTTCAATAAAAAAAAAGTACCGAGGAACCAATAACTTTTGAGCCCGAAAAACGATAGGAAGTGTATCAACCTTTGCGAGCCAAGCTTCAAAGACGCGATCAGATGACATAATCGTCGATTTCACATTCGTGAAAGCGTCCGCCGGTAAAATTAAAATTCCTCTGAGTCCGATAGCCGATATTCGAATTGGAATTTGTCGAAAAAAAAAAAAGAAAAAGAACGACTGCGGCGCGAGTCCTCCTCTTCCTCATCCGTGCCGCCATGAGATAAGGGAAGAACTTGCGGCAAGGTGTTCGGGAGCACACGAATTAATCTGTATCGCGGACATAAGACAAAATGGCACCGAGCCGGTCAATTACGGTCGGATTAGCAGTACACGAGGGGATCCCCTTCCTCTTTCCGCACGCAGAACCAGTGTCCCTTGCACGCTTCGCCACTTCGTGCACAATCCGCCACGGCCTTTGAAACGCTATATAAAGTGACAAAGCTGACTCGTTCGCGGGCACGTTCGGGTATCTCCGCTTCGGCTTAAACTCGCACTTTCCGGCTACGCTGCCGCAATTTGAAAGGAATTACGGCCGCTACTTTTCTACGTGCTCCTATCGGTGGCCAATAGAGCGGAAGGCGACAAGATAATTACACGCGACTCGTTTTAAAGAACGCTGCCCGCAGTGCCGTGCTTCATTCCCAAGGATGTCACGTTTCAAGTCAAGCATCGTTCGCAGGCAACGTTGAATTGACGTGTCGAAAAGGCACCGTCGAATTGACATTGTCAAACAGTACCAACACATTCCCGATACCGACGCTGACTTTCCTCTCGACACTTTCGTCCAGGTAGGTGCCACAATAAGCTTTCTCTTATTTACCGCGTCTGAAATTAAAGCCGATACCGCATCTCGGGGTGCATGTGAAACACGTGCCCAACGGACACTTCGGCGTTATTGCGAAGAGACCAGGAACTGGGTCGACATACGACCCCATTCGTATGTGTACGCTAATATCGTAGCTGTGTATTGTGTCGCGCGAATGAGCGAGATATTGCGGTGGAAGGTACGAATTGATTGATTAATATTGCGACGGATCTTCTGTGAAATAAATCGGAGGAGAAAATTTTACGCAAGATCAGGATTCCTGGAAAAGTATATTCCGGGAATAAGCAGATGTAACTTTGTTTTGATATATTACTTATTTAGATGTATTAAATATCGCTTGATTAGCGCATTTGTTAGTGTTTGAATAAAAAACAATATAAACGTTTGCAGTATTCTAGATTGAAAAAAGAAAGGCAATACACGTCTTGAAACAAGGAAACAGGAATAATCACTAAAAATTGTTACGACAATTGTTGTTATGTAATGTTACTGTTAGTATTCGCCGGAACACGCGCGCAGATTCGGTAAACATCTTGTTAGTAAACACACTATTTCTCGAGTTCTTCGGAAGGTAACATATAACATAAACATATGAAGATTGCTTATAACTAGTTATCGTCAGTCGTGTAATTACATCCAATTATGTACTGCCGTAACAAACAAATTTTCAAACCAACGTACCTATAATGACAATATTTTAAACAGAACTACTAGATTACATAATAACTATTATCCACGAAGAAATGGAAATAATATTTACTGCTGGTTACATAAAAGCAGAAAAATTTTACATATGGAGATGCTGATCAAGCAAATAAGAATTGTCCGAAATAAGGAACAATAGAAGAATTAAAAACAGTTATAATTTTCGCTTGTAACATATCGATCCTTCTTTTTTTGTAATTCCTCTTTATCACGAGAACTGCTTGATACAAAACTACTGGAGAGTTAAAATTGAAGCAATTGAATAAAAAGAACCTTAGCTACACTAATTGCGATATCAACGTATGCGCATTATTTGAAGATTGCGCGAAACGGAATTAGTGGAGAAGATAAATCGAATCACGTGGCGATGGAATGATGTGAAACCACACGAAAGAAATAATTTTTTCGTTTCGGTCACTTAATTTATGCGGAGACATCGCGCCGCATAAGGAAAATGTTAGTTTCAGAAGATCGCGATAAAATAGTATTCGCAATATTTTTTTTCTCGAGACACGTTTCCAAGAACTAATTACACAAATGTTCAGATACGCACATACATAAATAGTTTATGAATATTTATGATAGTAGCTTGTTCAGGATAATTATTCCGTGTGAGATACCATTCGTGTGAAATAAAGTATACGATAACAGAAATGTTTGAAAATACGACAGATAATGCGATATTTTCAGTGAGAATTTACTTTCGAGTTATTCGACGCGTAGATTCAAAGGTTACCAAAATAAAACGAGCGTGAAACAAGTACACGCTCCATTTCGTTATTCATTTTACGTTACACCATAAAAACTTCGGCCGAATAGTTAAAAATAAAAAGGCTCCAATGCAACATTGCATTAAAACAGGTGTATCGTTGAAGAAACAAAATACTCGTCAAACCGATACTTCCATTTAAATAAATTTTAACGCTAACGAGAATTTCTCGCGTAGCTTTGATAACGGTCGATAAATATTTTCGGACGTGCGGGACCCGGAATTACACGGATCCGAAGGAATAATTTTTTTCGAGTAATGATGGATTATATTTCCGACATGTTGCAGGAAATAAACATTCACAATGAAACGCTGTGTCCTACTACTTTGCGTCATGACGGTTCTACGCAACTCCGAAGCGCTGAATAAGGGATCCACAGATTACGAAGGTCTGTTATAATTTACATTTTACAAAATAATTGTTATATCGGCATTTCCATTTTCTTCATGAAGCCCGCTGTTTACACAGATGAAGTTGAATTTGAACATAAAAATATATTTAATGTTGCTTTTTTCCGTTTAAAATGTAACCCAAAATTTTTCCCAGATACTAAGACTATTTTGACTATAATTTTTGGATTCAGCACGAATAAGATGCGAGTTACAAAAAGTATAAAATATATATAAAAGAAATATATACAATGTACGCTGCATGTGAATATATCTCTGGAAAGATATAGAAAGCATGCCGTTCTCATTGTTGGAATTTCCTATTGCGTAAATATTTATCTTTAAATCGATAAAATAACGTGTACAAAGTTCGATCTTTGTCTACCATTACTGGCACTACACTCTTGCAATGTTTTGAAATATTTGTATTTTGATATTATTTTGAGTTTATAGTTATATAGAAAAAAGTTACGAAGATATTAACGATGTTGTTTTGATCGTACAATACTTTTGAAATTCTTTTTCCTGACATTAGATCTCACCAAAATCAAAAGTGCATATTGTACATTCAATCACTTTAACAAATAAGCCGTTATAATTTGTTTTCCAAACATATTTATTACTTGCGCTTATCTTCCGATGCTTCATAGCCCCGAACTAAATGAACATTTAACGGCTGATTACGCAAACATCGCTTGCGATTAATTTCATTTATATTTCCTTTCATTATCTGTATCATGCGTAAGATTATAATCTAGAAAAGAACAGGAAATCGCGCTAAGTGGAGCCTATTTGCCAATACTATTCGTACAGCCTAAGGGTCTAGAACCACCGTTGTGATTAAGTTGTGAAGTGTCCTTGAGGCATCTTTAAGACATCTTTCAAATTGCCCGACATTATTTGCATAAATTCGTTTTGCGTGTCACGATCGATCAATGTAGTATTCCTTGGCAACGAGGCGAAACTCTGATCTCTCATCAGATATGTCCTTCTGGCTGAAGTCCGGCCAAGAGACGCTGCACAGGATCCTGACCTACCGGAACAACGAGAACCGTGCCAAGAATGTGATCATCTTCATTGGGGACGGCATGGGTCTGGCCAGCATCACGGCCGGCCGAATTTACAAAGGTCAACTCAAGGGCCAGGCTGGCGAGGAATACCAACTCGCATTCGAGAAGTTTCCTAACACAGGCCTCGCCAAGGTATTTAAATCACACTGTTGATCGCGCCTTTAACTCGCGACGGCAATAATTTCGCAATATTGGGAATCCTGTCACGTTAAGCCGCTTAATTCCACGCTTTGATAAAAACGTCGCGTTTATTCACGAGACGAGAAAATACAACTATCGTGGCGCTCGCATTACAATTAATCCTCGTCGATCTTGCGGTAGCTAGTTGAACGCAAATAGGTCTGCTGCTTGTCGCTTCATCACGCGACAACAACGTATCAACAACATGGTTGATACTATCGTCATTTTACTATCTAAATGACAATGCAAAAAGATTTATTTGGTGATACCGAGATTTTGAGAGCGATCAAGTACTTGACAAGCCAATAACATCAACATGACGCACGAAAGACTATCTCCACAAATCGATTTTTATCTATTCCCGAAATTACATCATACATTAAGCACAAGTATAATTTTAATTATTATTTTCTAATTATCACGTAGACTTACAACGTGGACATGCAAGTACCCGATTCCGCGGGAACAGCCACTGCTATATTCTCCGGCGTGAAATGCCGATACAGCATTATTGGATTGGATGCTAAAGCCAAGCTCAAGAAGTGCGATAAAAAGATCAATGAGGCTAGCAAAGTGACCACAATAGCCGATTGGGCGCAACAATCTGGCAAAGACACAGGTAAGAATCCTCTTAGTAATTATAACGTGATTTTCTTAAAGTAAAACGTCCGAAGCAGTTATATATTTTACTTTTAGCCGTCCATAATTTCCCAATATCTCCCTGTAGTTTTGTCTTACGCGTATCTGCTTTTTAATCAAAGTTAAAATAATGGTAAAACGTTTGCGAAAAGAGTTTATAAAATTGAAATTATGACATGACCGAGAAGCGGCGCGTAGGGTTATTTTAAATTATTTGTGGAATGAGAAATAATTTTATAGATGAGAAAGTCTTAGGATTTAATATTTTATCCGAATTATAAACAAATCTACTACCAGGAAAAATCTAGTGAGTAGAGCTAATCATGAATTCAATCGTGATAACAGAGCAGTTGTTAGCCGTCATTAATCATTCGAATGTCGATCGATCGATAAATAGAAGATTTTATCGATAATCCACAACTATTAACACTTTCCGTGCCGCGTGGGGCGTATGCGCCCCACGCTGAACTTTCCGTTCGGACCGTTTGGGATTCTCATTGAAAAACGAAGTATTTTTTTTTAATTTATTATAAAGTCCCCACGCGGCGTGGCAGTCACTTTTTATATAATAATATATAATTGCGATATAATTGCGTAAAACCGAAAACTTGTGATAGATTATAATGAAGGAAAGTCCTATGTAGATGTCTCCGATCAAATATCGTCGTATACTGCAATCCTTTACGTAAATCAGCAAAATGGTATAAAAAAATTGTATTTAAACTTTGCTTAACCGTTTGAGTGCCACGGGCCTTTCTCATTTCCCGATCGAAACTTGCCAAGCGGCGCGATAGCGCTTGTTATATTCCGTGTCGAAAATTGCCAAGCGGCGCGATAGCGCTTGTTATATTCCGTGTCGAAAATTGCCAAGCGGCGCGATAGCGCTGTTTTCAGCTTACATGCAATAATCATTTCATATCTTTTTTTACCGAAGATTGAAAGGTCACCGTAAAGTTGTGCATCGAGAAAAACCGAGCCTGTGATTATGGGCTTCGCAGCCCAGAGCGTTGCAGTTTTCAGAAGAGAACAGAAGAAGCGCGATCGCGCCGCTTGGCACTCAAACGGTTAAACATAGCTATCGTAAATGCATAGATTATATATAATAGTCTTACCTACAATGAATTATCAAGTATCGAATTTAGGAAAAAATTAGCTATGCATCTGATGTCCTACGATGATAATAATTCTGTACCCATAACACCAAAAAGAATTCGCCATGAAATTAAAAAAAAGGAGGGCAGCTTCAATTCAGTAAGAAGGCGTTGTAAAATTTGTTATGAAAATAACATTAAAACGTTTGGTTCAAAATCGGCAAGAAATTCCACTATAAAAGTTTCAACATTCTGCGATAGTTGTTCAGATAAACCACATTTATGTTTGCCTTGTTTCAACAAAGTTCACCGCAATATGCCTTTGTGATTTTTAACAACTTTGTAACATAAACAATAATATCAAACGTATTTAAGATAAAATGTTTTATTTTATATCAATTTAGGCCAATTAAAATGATTATCTAAGAGCATGCGACTCGCCTAGTAGAGTAAATGTTCGACCGTGTGTTTGTTAAAACAATTCCTTAAAAATTAAATTTATTGCTTTGTTGTCTAATGCATATTAAACTCTACACCCTTTTCTTGATAATTACGGCCTTGTATTATTGAAAAACTATAAGGCATACGTCAAAAGCAAGTTTATTTAATCGTAAAAGTGTGGGACGTATACGCCCCACACGGCCTAAACGAAAAGTCTCCAAAAATCGGTCCGGCACGGAACGTGTTAATAGAACCTTGACATAGATTCGTGCTTGAAATTTATATATCGCATAAAACATTTCGAGGATCTAGAATCGATCGAATTAAAATTAGTGCGTCGTCGATGTTATCAAATGATTAAATTATTAATTGAATACAACTTCCCGCATAAGACAATATTTCAACAATATATAGAAATCTTTTGAATAAGCCTTTATTTCCGAATAAGATAGTGAATCTATCAATTATAATTTTTAATATCGGCACACAATACGTTTACGAAATTAGATTTAGATCTGCACACAACCATGCATGCTCAAGCATGCAGGCTCAAGCAAAATTTATAATTTTTTAATGAATTAAGATAATGAAAAGAAATTTCATTCGACGGAATTAAAATCAGAATTTAAGAGAGAGAATATGTTTTAATAATTTACTTCATACACAAGTTTTGACTGTGAAAAAATTTGATTTTTTATTTTAATTAAATTATTAACGACGGAAATAACGCTTGATATAAATATCACTTCTCATAATAGAGTATACGAGTAGAGTATCAATTCTGTAGAGAACACGTGTCACGCGCGATTGACTATTCCATTAACATAAGTGTTGGTACTGAGTGAACCTCGTTGAGGTTATACACAGTGAAAGTCTGCTCAATAAAACGAGGAGGTCATAAGCCGACCTTCCACCTTGTCGAGGACGGTTGGTCGGCCGTGACTTATTTCTACTTTGACGAAATAATAGTCTTTTTGTATGACAAAGTGAGTCGACAAATAGCATTTAATGAGTTCCTTGTTGCAGCTTCTTTCTTTGCTAGTATTATGTGAATGAGTTAACATAAACATGTCTTTTATATTACAAAACGTACTGTAATATAATGCAAATTTTATCTCAGTACTGATATCGCGCAATATATCTTGAGATATAAAACGAATCTGAAACAAACACTTTTAATGTGTCGAGTTATTCTGATGAGCAATAAATAAATTTTTTTAATAATCGGAGCGCGCAATTAACAGGATTTGTTACCACCACTCGCGTGACCCATGCCACTCCCGCGGGACTTTATGCGCATACCAATCATCGAGATTGGGAATGTGATAACAAGATACCGAAAGACCAAAGGGATTGCTTGAAGGATATCGCGAGACAACTCATGGAGGATGAACCAGGAAGTCAATTCAAAGTAATTAAACGCACATATATTTTTTGTATTTGTAGAAAAATTAATGCAATTCCTAAATTAACAGATTGTCAGAATCCATATGAATAGAGATACTGAAGAATTTAAACAAACAGACAAATGAAAAATATTTAGCGTTTGTATGTGAACAATGATGAAAAAACTACTAGCACGAAAAGAAATTATCAGTAAAACAATATGATGATCTAAAAATATAATAAAAATTATGTACAGAATAAGATATAAATGTATATCGATTTTTTTATAAAATACTCTAAATGTTCTAAAATTGCAACTATGTCGCTCCTTGCATCTAATATCGATATCTTTTGAAAGGTTATCATGGGTGGCGGTGGACAATACTTGGGTATACCAATGGAATCAAATGAAACTGACAGTTGTGTACGGAATGACGGTAGAAATTTGGCGAAGGAATGGCAAGCAGCACATCCGCAAGGAAAATTCGTCAACAACACGCAGGACCTCATGTCTCTCGATATCAGCAAAACCTCTCACGTCCTCGGCATTTTCTCGCCCAGTCACATGCCGTATCACGCCGTGAAGACCAGCGAGACGCCCTCGTTGTCCAATATGACATTACAGGCTATAAGAATGTTAAAGAAGAGCAAAAACGGATTTGTCCTGATGGTGAGTAGTCGCCAACGTCGACGATGAACATTCATGGCAAACACGAATCAGGTTGTGACGCAGGTTGTGACGCAAAGCGAGCATTATGCACAAAAGCAACATGCTCGATGAATATTAAAATGACATTAATGAAACGTACGTTAACCAAGATGGTGCATTAAGGAATACCGACGGATTAATAACAATGCGATTCTTATGCAAATTGCGGGGTCATTTTCGTGTAATGCGTTCTTAGACACGTGTTTTTAGGGTTTCATCTTGCCGGAAGCCGGTCTAGGCCGCATTACTTGAGCGCATGATTTTACGCGTAATTTGAGAACACCGCAATCTTTGTCCGAGTAGAGAAGAGAACGTCAAATCGAAGAACTTGATGGTCGTTATCTATAAACGACAGAATAATGCTTGCAAGCCATTGTTTCGTAATTCTATATGCGAAATGATAAAATAATGAAATTAATTTATTTGGCCGAATAACTAACTCTTGGCAAGCCGTATTTTCCTATGTAAAGGATTAAGTTTTCCCGTCATATTCTCCACGCAATGATGAAAAAGAAACTTTACATACATTATTTCATGTGTATATGTAATAACACAATGTTAATAAATGGATAGAATTATTTAATAAAATATTAATTTATGCTTTTTAATTCTCTAGGTCGAAAGCGGCAAGATTGATTTAGCTCATCACGGTAATTTCGCGAAACTAGCAATGCGCGAATTATCGGAACTCGAAGAAGCAGTCCTAGTAGCTCTTCAGCAGGTGCAAGTAGAGGACACACTAATCATCGTCACAGCTGATCATTCGCATTCATTTTCACTGAACGGATATCCAACGAGAGGCAATGACATCCTCGGCTTCGCTAACAAAGTCGAAGATCCGAAAATCAAGCCTTATGAAACGCTATCCTACATCAACGGTCCAGGATTTTACTATCATCGAAGAAACGACAGCAACAACATCAACGAGACTTGGAGGAAAGTTGAAGAGGACCCGAATCGCGATAAACCCTTCTATAGGAATTTCGCTGCTATCGGCCTCAAAGACGAGACTCACGGCGGAGAAGACGTCGGGGTTTACGCTATCGGTAAAAAACGAAAAATTTCCTGACGAATTCTTTCAGAATTAAAAGATTAGAAAACGTTAATTGTATTGTTAAATTTCAATTTTATTTTCACGATCTCCTAAAATCCATTATAAAATTAAATGCAGCGAAATTGTAATTGTTCTTTTTCCTCAAGAGTAATGGTTGCGGGAAATAATAAAAAATAATATCTTTTGCAGGCCCCTACGCGCATTTGTTTCGAGGTACTTTTGAGCAGAATTACATTGCTCACGCCATAGCATACGCAGCATGCTTCAAAGACTGGCCGTCTCATTGTGACGACGCTTATCATCGTTATTTTTATGCCATCAACATGGAAAAACACAATGTCAAATGGCACAATTCAGCAGGACAGAACATTATGTCATCTATGACTATAATAACTCTTTTATTAACGATGATATTTTTACGATTTCGTTAAATGTGATAACAACGATACATATTTAGTTAATTCGCGTGAAATTTCTTTAAAGAATTTTTATCTATCAATCATTAGAAGACGTGTTTATAATATAAGATACGTATCAAACACATAAATACTATTGAATATAATACTGCTGTCGAAACATGAAAAATATAATATTATCCAATATTTTTTGTACGTTAAATTTCGTGATATATAAAATCTTGTAAAAAATTGCAAACATTTTTATTCACAGTTTATGTAAAATGGAAAAGTTATATGTACTTTTATGTGTTACTTATACAAAGGAAATAGATACGGATCTATGTACATACTTATACATCATTTTGAAACGTATATTTTAGTTATAAACTAACAAACGAACTGTGTTAGCTTAAATGAGAGATGCAATTATATATAGATTATAACTGTGTGTGATTAAAATAGTTCTTAAGCTTTTATGTCATAATAATTATGTAAATATATAAATGTATACGAGAATAAGTCACTTAAATGATAATCTAACTTAAACAATTAGAAAAAAAGTTAAAAGTAATTTAATAATGAAAACTTTTTTATTATTATATACATTGAATTTAACAATTTTGGTTGTTCTTGTCGAATAATTTTTTTTACAAATTTCGCGAATACATATATAAAACTGAAGCAACGTTAAAAAATAAAATTGTACATTATACAAATACATTTCTTCGTAAATATTCAATGAAAACATTCGTGTGAAACAAAATGCGAAATAAATTCCAGAAAATTCATCACAAATTCATCCTAATGTTTTTACAATTTTCCCCTTACAATAGCGAGATAATAATTTTTATAAATTAGTGGCGCTGTATCGTCGCTAACGAAGTTCCTGTCGGGTTTAATCGATGCGTATGGATTTCTCCGCGGCTTCAGAATCGTTTCCGTATCGGCGATCGATTTTATCCTCATCATTTCTCGAGGAATTTCATGCTTCGTGTAAGACGTCACACAAATAGGAACACTCGTTTTGCAGAATTCCCTTATCGTATCCGGCCACGTGTCTCTACCTTCAAAACCAGTTTCCCGATAAAGACCCGGGTTAAAAAGACACACGAGATCCGGTTTTATGAACTGTTTTGAACGACAGAAATCGTGATAGAATTTACCAGGATGAAACGAGACGTTTACGTGACGATCGGATGTTTTACAGGCCGAGCAGATTTTTACAGCGGTTAACAGTTTCAACGGAACCGTCGGCAGTCTCAATTCCGGTCCGATGAACATCAATCTGAGACGCTTCAAATTTGGAATTAAATGCAGGAAGAACTTTTCCCATACGTGCAAATTTATACATTCGAACTGAAATTCCGCGCCTATCACATGGACCACGAAAGTATCGACGATTCCCCAGTTCTGACACGAAATTTGCATGGAATACAGAGCGGTCAGCGGAATAGTCGATATGTGCGAAAGATTACAGTACGTGTAGCAATCCATATCGCGATAATAAGGCAAACAATCGTAAAGTCGCGCCATCAACGAGTCGAAATCATCCGGGAGACAAAGTGGATCCTTTTGAAAAGTATCCGGTATCTCAGGGTCCACGTGGCCGTTCTCGTGCTGCATGAGCAACACTCTGCGAAAAACCTGAAATTCTCGACACCACTGCTCGTGTCCGTCTTCGTGACCACGGCAGTATAACTCGATTTCGCAATCTGGACAGTATAGTAGCGCTTTGGAGAAGTGACGACAGCTACGACACACACGCGGATAGAGAATGACCTCTTTCTCCCAGAGTTCAAGGGGCCTACCCAAGCGGCATTCCACGATTTCGATCAGTTTCAACCGGTAAATGCGGTAATCGTCCGGGGTAAGTTCCGTCATCAACGACAAGCCGCCTCCGATGGCGCAGACCTCGGTCAGAACTTCGCACAAGTCACGATGCCGCGGCCAGCCTTGCTTCTTGTGCTCGTCGCTGCAATAGGAGACCATGCCGCAAAATTCGCAGGTTTCCCGTGACCGCTCCATGCAGATAAGACACAAGTTCGACGCGAAAACGAAGCGGGGCCAGAAGTTCAGCTCGAGCGTGTCCTCTTCGTCGCTGTCGTCCGACAATCGATGATGCATCGGAGAGTGCATCGGCAGCACGAGTGGCAATTTCAAACGTGCGTAAACGTCGATCGTGCTCTCGAGCACAGGATGGTTCTCTCCTTTCTGTTCTGTGGCCTCTTTTCCAACGGAATTTGATTTTTGCGACAATTCACTCTCGCACGTTTTGTGAGCGAAGCTCGAGTTTTTTCTCGAGTTCTTTTTCCTGCGACCCATTGTCAGAAAAGCTGAAAGAATTCGGCGAAATAAATATGACGTAATTCAATGTTACGATTGAGATAAATTTGTTTTAATTGAGCAAATGATTGAATTATATGTAATATTTGAATGTCGAGTTATATAAAATTGATTCAAATGTATTCTTGAAATTAATTCCATTCTTCTTGTCGGCCGCAATTATATAATGTAACGGGTTCAGTATTTCTAGCACGAGATTCGCATTACATAACATCATTCTACATCTCGTCAAAGATTACGTATGGGTTATTATTTTAGAATATTGCATATAGAAGTTGCATACGCGCGTACATTGAAATTGAAATTGAAAAGGCATATAACATTGCAAAGACCAATAATTACATGTGACCGCGACAGTCTGTTCGTTTTTAATGAGCTCAGTCTATTTCCATCGTAAAGAAAAGACAATTACCTCTCAATTTAGCACTAGTGCCCAGCCATACCCAATACGCTATTATTGAAACTGAACTTTCGCTAATTCAAAATTTATTTATGTACCATTTCAAACATATCGCTAACCTTACTGCTTTCTAAGTATTAATATATTAATAAATTGTTGAATTATATATAATATTTGGATGTCGAGTTGCATCAAATTGATTAAAATGTATTAATTCCTGAAATTAGTTTTACTCTTTTTGTCGACCGCTATTGGGAATTATGTAATGTAATGGTGTTCAGTGTTTCTAACGCTAAATATGGATATAAAGCTAATTATTAAAAAATTGAACACTTACCTCGTTGAAATCTTCACTCTTCAAAAACGACGATCTTTTACTTAATTTTTAATTAATTAATTAATATAAGCACTATATTTTTTATATATACAACGTAACAAACGCTATATTGAAAAAAGACACACAATTATTTGACGATGTACGTCACTCGTCACCAAAATCTTGATTTCAATGCTTTCTCGAGATATGCGATTTAACGTTTCGTCAATTTTCCCTCTGCACGACAAGTCAGACGTCTCAACCGTTCAGGGCGCTACAAGGCATTGTCAAAAGGCGCGTGTACGTCGATGGGCACTATGCCTAGTCGACTAGACTAAGGTATTTCAGGCAGCGCAAGTTGGCAATAGATATTCGAAGACGAATAGTGTACTCGAGCGACGTTTGACGTCCGGAGTCAAGCGTCACATCTCGAAGCGATCGATACGTCAACAAACAGGTAAAAAGTGCCTATATAGCTAAAAATTCCGCTCTCACATCCTAGTTTGTGAGTATGCTACGCTTTGAATCGAAAGGACTAACATGATTGCAAGAGAAGAAAACGATACGGCCGTGCATACCCTATGCCTGCTCTAGGCTATTATTAACTAGAAATGAAATTGTTACGAAACAACTCGTGGCTGCACTTGACGCCCTTTCGTCTTTGACCCTCGCGAAGCATGTGTGTGTGTGTGTGTGTGTGAAAGTAATTGATGCGCAACGATATTGTGAATAAACGCGACTCAGTTCCTAGATAGAATAGAAAATGACGATAACAAGAAAATGATTGAAAAATGAGTTTTTATAATATTTTTCTCTTCATTTTGACGTCATCATGATTTTCTATTCTATTCTATCTATGAATGAATGATGTATTTTTGAACATTATAATTTCTCTGGTAGATTTTTTCAAGACTTTGATCATTACTAATTACCCGTAGAGCGTAGCTTTACGTTATTTTAGAGTAACAATTGAAAAAAAAACAAATGTATATATATATATAATATCACACACATGTATATACAACTTTTACAGAAAAGTATTAGTGTCTGTAATAAATTGGTCAGTCCCAGACAACATAGATTTCGTAGGAACATCCTGAAGATGTCCTGAGGACATCCCAATGTCCCAAAAGGTATCCACAGGATATCCATAGAACATCTATAGGATATCATATACTGTTTGGGAGTGATTGTTGTCCAGTAATTTTATTACTTAAACAAATAATAAAGTTACTGAGCAACAATAATTTATTACTGGCCAATTTATCATAGGCAGCAATATTTTTTTATAAGGGAAATGCAGTATCCATATATGTATGTATATATATATATATATATATATATATCTCATAAGTATACACGTAAGTTCAATTTTCGCCGCCATAGGCACGCAAAAAACGACTCTATGTCGACGACCAAGTTTCAGGTTAGTTATCGCATACCTGCGGTATCCAGATGCAACATCGGTGAAAATACGTCTGTATTGCCGATTTTTGTAAAGTTTTACGAAGGGAATTAGTCTCTGATACGAGGCATAACAAACTCATCGAGCGCAGCAACGCTAAACGGTAGAGATGTTGGAAGCACATAGGTCTGCCAAGCCTCCGAGCTCTTCCAGGCACATTTTAACAGTTCAGTTATGTAAATATTCATATACGGACGTTATTTTCCACACGTACTATTCCCGCCGCTGTTTAATTTCACCCGATAATACGAAAAGAAAAGCAGCGCACTCACGAAACCGACCGTTGAAGAGACGCTTGGGATCGACTATCTTCGTTTTGCCTGCGATTCTCGAACCATCCAATATCGATACTCTCGAACGAGCGCGCGACACGTCGATAGTTGAGTTTGGTTGAGTTGTGGTGCGAGTAAATACGTGTTACGGCTCGTGGTGGGTCGGGATCGGGTAGAAGATCGTCGAAATACTTCGAGAAGGTAATCCAGAAGTATCTGGGATACTACACGCAGGAGCCACGCTTATGGTTGGCCGATGGAGGAGCACGCGAAAAAAGATTGCTGCATATTCGAGGTACGTGGCGTATTTTGAGGTTATGGCGGCCGGGCTGTCAAACGCTCGCGGGAGCGAAAGAATTTGCTCTTTTCGACACCCGAATTTTCTATGAGGATTCCCGCGACAATATGACGATACAATGGCAATTTCGAAGCAAAACGCGGTGCAATCAAACGGCATATTATCACGGGGCCTTTTCAGGGCCTCCTACGGAGATTATAGCGTCGAGTACTTCGAATGCATTCGGAGCGAAGATGGATGTAAATTTCGTATGTAAGAGTGAGAGAAAAATATATCAGGTTGTCGAAAGGATCTCGCTCGGGATTACAAATAAGATATTAAGAATAGCGGAAACATTGCTAGGGAAAAATGAAATCACATGAAACGGTGTTATTTATTAATTATTAATGGAAAATATGTACATAATTCCTCACTTACCGGATGTTCTGATAAAAATAATCAATATAACAGCAAACAATGCTGATTACACGTTTTTATGACTCACTTCATTCCCACGCATTATGTTTATAAGGAGGTATCGCGTATTTTTATTTGTGTATGTGCACGATAATGTTTATTACCTGTTTTTTCTCGCAATATACGCATGCAAATAAATTGACAAGCAAATAATATGTTGTGAAAATGGAATATTTTTATATATCGGTTGTGCAAACTCTGAAAATTAGCGATTCGCGATCGAAATTTAATCGGTTTTATTACGCGTGGAATTATCCGACCGTAAAGATAAATGCCGCGTATTGTTTACATATGCGAAACCTTGACGACGTGTGTGACGAATATGTCACACATTCCGCGATGAGATGTTGCAAAATTTTATCTTTTTTGTACTTTGTTTTTAATTCCGTATTTTGCATAATTTTCTCATAATATGTTACCATTTTTATTACTTCCCTCAGTATTTTTATATAATTTAAAATTTAATGTGTCGGAAGGAATTTTTTCATCAGCAGAATCGTCGATAAGCGCATTAATTATTAAACATGTCGGACATTTTTGCTAAGATATCGAATTTTGTTACCGTCGTTTAATCAGTCGACAAATTCGTTAAACCTGAAAATTATACGTATTAATGATGAATAAGTGCGTCATGTGCGCGAGTTCCTACGTTTTTATCCGATCTTACGTAAATATCGAAATGTGTTATAAACGTATTTGCTTCCGAGTCGTTATATAACTATTAAAGTAAAGACCATTAAATCGATAATATAAACTCCTTCGCACGACTCGTCTACGAAAATGCACGTGGTCAGGCTATATAACGCCGTCTACGAAAAAAAGAGTGAAAAGAAAGAAACGAATTGCGGAATCAACGGCTGGTGTTCTAAATTAGAACCAGCTGTATAGACCGGGCTAGAGCAAACACTACGGAACGTACACGTCGCTCACGTGATTCTAGCTGCACACCCATGTCACCAACTGAATTAGATAACAGTATTATCAGTCTCGCAAGAAATAATACATTTTTTAATAAATTCCTAGCGTTGATACGAGCGCTATGGGGCAACCTGGTGTTATCGAGTATTTTCTTAATAATATAATAGCTATTTATTGCTAATTAGTTTCTCATCGAAAATTACTTTACTCTCATTCAAACTTCCTTTAATTTTTACAAATAGCAAACGGAAAAAAAGCTGTATGAAGAACTATGTGTATACATATCAAAGATGCTCCGCTCTAACGAGAAATTAATTCGAGGCGTTGTTTTACGTCATTGTGCTATCAAAGTAGAATTATCTGCAATTATCTCGATGTATTATTTACCGATAATTTCACGAAAATAAACTATAAACATCGTCGAGCGTGAATCTTTCGTTAGTAAACGTTGCGAGCGGATTTTTGCGATCAACCCAACGAGATAATCTCGCTTGTCGGTAGCAATACTCGTCGGTGATCCACGAGAAGAAAGCAGACGATGCACCATGCGAAGACGCAAGATTACCCTAAACGCAACAAAGTCCGCCACAGAAAATCAGACAAGAGCTCGGCACTTAGTAAAATGGTGGGATTAGGTAGCGAAGAACTGTTCATTTCGAATATCGCCGATACCCCTATGGAATTGGAGATCAGCTCCGAAGATGAGGGCGAAGGCGGAGGCGATATGCAACGATTGATACCATCGCCGGTTGGCACTGTCCGCGTTGACCCTGGTAACAAGAAGGATGACCTGAGGAGGGACGAACTGGAAATCACGATGGACGACGAAAGCGTCTGGTCTATCTCTATCCAGATGTTCATACCTTTCCTGCTCGCCGGCTTCGGCATGGTAGCCGCTAGTTTACTACTAGACGTGGTGCAGGTATCGAATCAATTTTCAGAAATTATTCGGTACATTATTAATTAATGACACATATATCTATATAGAGAGACAGTGTTTTCATCTTATTAATAATTTTTTGTTATTCCTAATCTACAAGAATCTGATGTGATGAAATTTCTCGAATTTCAGCATTGGCCGGTATATCAAGTGGTATCGGAAGTGTATATATTAGTTCCTGCGCTATTGGGTCTGAAGGGAAATCTGGAGATGACGTTGGCTTCCAGATTGTCGACCCAAGCTAATTTAGGTCAAATGGACACGAAGAAGCAGAAGTGGACGTTGATCGTCGGTAACTTGGCCTTAATCCAGTGCCAGGCTATGGTGGTGGGTCTGCTGGCGTCCTTGGCCGCCATCATCCTCGGCTGGGTCCCTGAAGCTCACTTCGATATGCATCATGGACTTTTGCTATGCGCCAGCGCCCTGGTTACTGCCTCCGTAGCCAGTTTCCTGCTAGGCCTTGTGATGGTCGCGGTTATACTATTGTCGCGGCAAATGAACATCAATCCCGACAATGTCGCTACTCCAATCGCAGCCTCCTTAGGCGACTTAACTACTTTAGCTCTTTTATCCTGGATTGCTTCTCTCTTATACGACGCGATAGGTACAGCTTTTAATCGACTCTTATGCCATCTTTTGTCTCTGTGATATATGAATATCAACGAGTGAATATATCATTTTCCTCAGGTAACGCTCCATGGATAGCACCAATATTAATAACATTTTGTATATTGGCAACTCCCGTGTGGGGTTACATAGCGGCCAGAAATCCATTTACTAAAGAGGTATTGGACACCGGCTGGACACCTGTGATATCCGCGATGTTGATCAGCAGGTGAATACATGATTCTCTAATTCGACGCAAGATCCCACGAGGCGAGTGATTTTGAGACGAGTGACATTGATTTTAGTCTCGGTGGACTGATCTTGGACTATACCATATCGAGTTACAAGGGCATAGCAGTTTTCCAGTTAGTGATTAATGGCGTCGGAGGGAATTTAGTCGCTGTTCAGGCCAGTAGAATATCAACATCCCTGCACAAAGACTGTCAGACGGGTGTCAAAACGACACCCAACATTTGCATCAGTCCATTCCATGCGTTCTTTGCTAAAGGCAAGTTTACCGTAAACGTACCTGTACGATTATATTCGTACGATTATTCGAATCTAACGAGAACTTTTGATCGTAGGAGGACACGCAAGAACAGCCAGGGTGTTGTTGATGATGGTGATACCAGGGCATTTGATCTTTAGTTATACCATTAGTTATATTCAAGCAGGACATACCTCCTTCACGCCTATATTTATTACAATATATTTGATCGCTGCAATGCTGCAAGTAAATACTAAGACTTACATATATGGCATGATATGGAATCTGATTTATTATAAAAATAGATTTATATTTCTTATTAAATCATACTTGATATTTTCTCAGTTATATCATTAGCTAAAGTTGAAAAAAAAATAATCAAATACGTCTTCTAGGTAATTCTATTGTTATATATTGCACAATTGATGGTTGTTTGGATGTGGACAAGGGGTATGGACCCTGACAGTTCCGCGATACCATACCTGACAGCAGCTGGCGATCTTATAGGAACTGCCCTCCTCGGAATTGCCTTCCATATTCTTTACGCTATAGGCGACGGTGATTCTGACGTAGGAGACTGATTGGTTCGCAAATTTGTGCAATATTCTGAGCCTCTCGTAATGTTACAGATTACATTCTCGAGAATAGGTAAGGTGTACGGTCAAGAGTTTAACTCGAAATCACAAAGATCACGTTGCGATGATTCGATATTACTGATTTTAATTTCAATAAGTTCTACTACTGATTTTTCGAAACTCCCGTCCCCTGATTCCTTCACATCTCTGGAAGAATATATTAAGAGAGTACAAATTAAATTAATTGTATATTTATTATATAAAAGTACAGTGTACGCAAAAAAAGTGCAGTATTCGTCAATAGTTTTGCTTTATCCATAATTATTTAATTACGATGATAAAAATTGCGATAAAATTTAAAAGTTAATATATTTTTAATATAAGGGTACGTATCTTGCTACATCTCATGCTATACGTTGACCAAACCATACATTATCATAATGAGATTTATCATAATGAGATTTTTTTATATTCGCGGACAGATATGCTAATAGATTTTCCCGACATATCTGTCCGTTATAATGCACATATGTCAGCAATATAATTTCTTTTAACGTACATCTATATAACTACGCTATGAACAACACTTGAAGTTATTCGAATACCTTTTCATTTAATTTTCATTTTAGTCATAAAATGCCTATACATATACACATAAACCATATATAATAATTTGGTTCACCTGTACGAAATATGCAGATACACATAAGTGTACGCATAACTATTAATTCATACGTATCACATTAATCAAATGATAAGTGAAAACTCTGTGCACTGTTTTTTTATATAAGCACTTAAATATATCAACTCGATACGTCTTATGTCACGTCATATTTGACACGATGGTTAAATGAGTTATAATATATTACATTTAAATTTTGATGAATTTTTTCACGACATGCATTTTGAGGCTTTTTTACTATAAGATAAAACAAACTTTTTGAGCAATATACTATATCTAAACAATGCAAGAAATAAATTTATTCTGTATTGTATTATAAGAAAAATCTCACGCTCCATTGTGAGTAGCATGTGTGTAATAATTTATCTCCCGTATTTTCTAGTAAAGAAAATATACAATGAAGAATTAAAAGTGTCGCAGTATTTTATATTAGAATTACTAATATTACTTTACAGGAACATATTCAACAATAGCCCAAAGAATCACACATCAAAATAATATATGTAATAGCTATACTTTATCTGATGTCATTGAAGAAAGAGAGATGAAACACTATATAATTTAATTCTTTCGTTATAGTATTATTATAAATGTTCTTGCTGTTAAACTGTATATACGTATTGAATAATGTAGGCGTTTCATATCTGATTCGTTCACTTGGCGATGCAATGGAATTAAGAGTGTGATATACAGGATATTCAGTAATTAGTTATTAACAATAGCTTTCTGGTATTCAGATATGTTCTTTCGAAATAAGTTCCTTTCAAAAACTACTGCAAGTAAGATAAAGTACTGAAACTTTATTAACATTTTTCTAGTGCCTAAAACACGTACATGATGAGTGTGAAAGTCTGAAATAACGGCGCCGTCTGACGGAAAAATTTATCTATACATGTGCANTATATATATATATATATATATATGTGTATATATATATATATATATATATGTATATGTATATATCACGATATGCAATATAGTAATAACAAATTCTAGCGCAACGATTTGTTACGTTTTTACAAAATAAAATCTCCTTTAATGGATAGTTACCGAATTGTATCGTTATTTATCTTACGCGCGTATTCAAATCCTGCACGATACCGTGCGTAATAAGTGAAGCGATTTCAAACGCGACATGTGGGGCAAATTAGATAATTACGTTGCGTAAGTGTTCTAAGTATCTGTCTCGACTCTTGGGAACTTAAACGGGAGTATAACGATACGATACTTATGATAAACTTTATTGTAAAAACAAATTGTTCTATGTTCTCACTATGACATAAAAGAAACGACGTAAAACGAAATGTCTGGCGTTTTTGTAATTTGATAATTTTTAAGCTGTTACAGACATGTACGCTCTTACGTTTAAGCTCTAATTAGAACTATTCTTGTTATTATTTACTTGTTATCTTGTTATTTACTTATTCAAATTAAATTGCGCGTATGTATATATATATATATATATATATATATATATATATATATGCGTTATACTGTTCATACTTAGTCATTATTATCGTATGTTAATCGTTCGATCGTGTTTGTCGATAATTCGTAGTCGGCGGAGGATTTTTCAAAATCACAAGAAACCTGGCCAAATAAGAGCCAACGCTGGTAATTAGTCAAATTGACTTCGCAAAGTGACTTGTAATAAACCTATCTTTCAAATTTATCACGAGAAGGGAGAAAGGGAAAAGCGTAACTCTCCGCAATTCATCACATGCGTTGGCTCTTATTGGTCAAGTTTTTTACGATTGCATATACGAGAGAGAGAGAGAGAGAGAGCCTTGTTGTGAAGTGCCTTGTGTCATTGATTTTTCGAAAGCTCGCCGAGAGAAACGAGAAGCGTCATGCACGCACACACGCACGCGCTCGCACAGACGAAGCGGGAGCACGCGTGTACCCGCGTTCAGGACCTGTATCTTCTCGGCTCCAGTTTAGAGCCCCGTCACATTCTCCCGCTCGTTCTCGCCCGTCACCACCTACACCATAATCGCGCCGCGCTTCGTCTCTCGTGTGCGTCCGTTCATTCATCCGTGTCGCCGTGTGCACGCACGTAACTTACACGCACACGGCGCGACGACGACGCGGTCAAGCCCGACGACGACGACGATTGTGAATGAAATAGTTGGATCTGTCAGTGCCAACTATCGCGCCGTTCCCGGCGTACACGGTGCCTCTCTTAGATCTTATCTATCGTCGCACGTTATGCACGACGCGCGTAAAAGGGTAAAGTGGCCGCGAAAAGAGCGCGATTAATCCGACTTAAGGTCGCGCGTCTCGTTTAAGGATCGAAATCGTTCTGATCTCGGTGAGTTCGATTCTCGACGCTGTGGACGCAAACAAACTGATCAGCCGCGCCGACAGTGGGGGCGACTACGACGCGATTCGCTCGATTTCGTAAAATAATCTGACTGATAATTAAAATTTCACGACAGTTAAGTTCGTCTATTTTCTTGGGGAACAAAAATATTATTCGATTATGATTTAAAGAGATAAAAGGGGAGAAAGAGAGAGAGAGAGAGAGAGAGAGAGAAAGAGCATCGATGAGCCAATTGTTTTAAGAATAAGATTTGTACAGTGACTCTTTCTCTCCCATTTCTTCGTGCCAAGAATCTGAGAATATGCGCTTCTTTTATTTTAAACGTCAGAAACGTAAAACGAAACACTCAGGAAGGCGGACTGTACTTGTAATTTGACCCTGAACTACTTCGGCATAATCTTCGAATTATAGTCGACAAGGTTTTGGATCCCTGAACTTACTGAAATTATATCAGTTTCAGCCCCTGCGCACTCGCGAGATTCCACTTTGTTTTATTTACGTAGCGTTTTGTCGATATTCTGGAAAAGTTTCCCGCCGAGCGATAACATCGGCAGACGACCGATAACGAATGAAGTAATCGACCGCGCGATGACGATTCCATGAGACGTTGATCTTTGATACTAAAAATAATCACGGGCTTAGTGCTGCATCAAAGAATGACTCCAATTGCAAAATTTAGCATCGCAAAGCTTCTTTTTTGTGTGCGGCTGTTCGTCATCGTCGGCTTTACGTGATTTATTTCGAGCGAAGCCGCCTGCGAGCGTGCGAACAAAATACGATTTTTGCTCCAATCATCCGAATATTTTTTTTTCTCTTTTCTCCTTTTTTTTTATTGATCACGCGGGTAAACACGAGATGCTCGCCTCATTCGTCGCATCCACCTTGGTGAATAAATAAATAAACGGTACAATACGTATGATAAGCGGGTTTTTTTTCGGGCGGAGTGCAGCCTCGCGAAATCTTCGGATTATGAACGTTCGAGCGAAAATCGAACAGATACTCTCACGTGCGCGATCGTGAAAATGCGGTGCGACATTGCGGTCATTTGGACCGCGACGGCAAGAAAGAGCATCATCGTCCGGTGCAGCTGACCGGCGTGTAAGTATTATCAGAGACACCTCCGCGTTGCACCTCGCGTGCGATCCTTATCCGCCTCTGGCTCGCCGACGAAAATAAAATAATAGCACGACGTGCGAGCGAGAGTGCGAGCGGACGAACGAACGAACGAACGAGCGAGCGAGCCGGTGGATAAGATACGGGAGAGACGAGAGGTATCAGAGCGTACGTTAAGTTATTGCCCGTCATGGTCGAACTTAAACACGTGGAGTAATTTATCAATCTGCGAATATGTTACGGAAGCGCTTAGGCGCTCGCATCGCCCGGAGAACGGTCCGCGACTTCGTCGGCGTCGACGAGCTTGCGGAAAAGCGTCGCGGTGTTGAAAACGCGAAGACAGCTCCCGGATGTTAACCGGAACACGTTTCGTGCCTGTACTCTCGTAGAGGAGAAAAAGTGGTATATTATGGCCTCTCTTAATATCTCCACTATTAAGTTAATAATGATTACTTGTGGAATCATTTATTTAGTAGCCTGCCGTCACATTGTGACGCTAACATGCCAATATACAATAGCCGGCATTTGTCATAACGCATTTGTACTTTTGAATATTTCAAAACGTTTTCAAGATATATTTTACGAAACACTGTGTTTTTAAACAAAATTAATTTTTTCAATCTATCTCGGTTGGGAGTCACATTACCTCTGTTCCTCTTTAATCCATTATGCAATGTCGCAACATTTTTATAAATAACGTCCTTAGTAATAAATATTTCATAACTTTGAGAATCGATTAAACAACACTTTGACGAATATAAATGATTAAGTTTTCGAATTACAATATTAATTATTAACAAAATTATTGTTCAAAATGCAAATGGGGGTTATAACACCGCTTTCTCCCCTAATAAATAAATAAGTAGAGGATAAGTGATATCGGAGATTTGCAAAAGTTTGTTGGGTTTTTCGTCGAATAATATTCTCTTATTAATTGTGACGAAACAATACATGTCATATTCGATGAAAATATCTGCCGGCACTGTCAATCTCCTACCTTTCAGTAATTATGCGATTTCGTGTCTGTAAGACGATTCGTCTTCACAGTCAAAAAAATCATCGACGGTCCGACGAATTTTCGCAAATTTCTAGTAACAAAAAGAAGATATAAACATAAAAATTAAAGTTATAAATTTTCTCAAATGCACGTGCACAGAAATGCGTAACACGCAGCGTCCGCACCTGCGTAGAAGCGTTGGGATTGCGATCGATTTAAAGGCGAAGACACGTTCCCGGCGTCTTGAGAAACATCTGTAATCTCTATTTTAGCTGAAAAAATATGTTAAAGAGCGTTAATTACAGATGAAAAATCCGATTAGATAATCGATGTAAAACATAGAGCACATTCGCGAAGATCTCCGATCTTATTGTCGCGATAAACGAAACGAAAGTTTTAGCTAAGCTTGGTGAATCACTAGCATTTTTACGGTACATCCGGTAGAAGTGACGTAAAACGCACGTGCTCGCGAAAAGGTCTTATCCTTATCATTCGAGGTAATTACGGATAAGACGAGGAATTCGCAGGCGTGAGTTATGCGCGACGCACTGGCACGCGCGATGCGGAGTCGCCGCAAGTACGAAGTTGCAAAAAAGTAAGGAGATTTCGGTAACTTCTTCTTCTTCTTCGTCGCGTCTTCGGTGCAAAATGACGAGCGGTGCATGGCTGAGACGCGTGTAAAAATATCGCAATGGAGACATCTCGGGTACCAGCGGCGTCGAGTCGCTCGCGCCGCGCGAGCATGTGTACGCGCGCGTGTGATCCACCGCGTGGAAAGACGTCCTCTCGAGTTGCACGCGATAATACTTTGCGTAAACCGGTCGCGACTTCCATGTAAATGGATGCTGATGGACACGTGTCGGTTATCGGTCCAGCCGCCGCCTATCGTGTCGTGATATGCTTCCGACGGTCATCATCGAGAGTTTGTAATTGGAGAACCGGCTGTAAGAGATAGACACGATCGGCTGTCCCGTTTAT